ACCTTCGCGCCCGTCATGGCCTGGACACGATCCCAGATTTGTTGGTACGTGCGGTTCTTGATATCCAGAACAGCTGATTGCTCATTGGCCTCGGGGGTCGGAGCAAGCTCATCGACGACCTTTCTTTCGTTTGCGAGAGCCGCTGCGGCGCTGCCGACCCGTTCGGCGAAGTAAATTGTCAATGCTGCGGGTCCTTGCTGGTTGGAGGTTTGTGCCACAGTCATCGGCACGCCTGGGTTGTGATATTTCAGTCGCGGAAGACAGTTACGCCAGAAATGCCGCGCGCCTCCGTGGCCCTGGTCGATCTTGCGTGCATATGTGAGGTGGAGTCGGGTGACGGCTGGGAATTCTTTTGATGCGGAGGTGAGGCTGGGAAAGATGGCTGCACCTGTGCCAACTTTGGTTTCGAGCATCTGCAACAGTGAAAGAACGAGTCAGTTGATTGATTGCATATCGGCCAGACTGTGGGAGACACGAGTTCGGCCTCGGAGGTTGCAGGGTCGGAGATCTCGAAGAACGGGGTTTCGGGCTTACTCTCTGTTGACAGAAACAATTTTACATTAGTATATCAATTCTGCGTTACATTGAGAAGCTCGGGTAGGGAGAGCTGAGAGAAGCTATACATACAGTTTGCAGCCTACGAAGCCGCTTGAACAAGTTGACCATGATGAAGGCTGTTCCGCACAGGGACTGGCCCTTATGCGATGAGACGTGCGGGTATAGGGATAAGGCAAAAGTAGAAGACTAATTGGCAAGATAATTGCTCAATAACAGGTAATATAGGTCCGGAATTGCGAGTTTGTTGATCGGGGAAATTTATCGCAGATGCGCTTGTCGGCGAAGAAGTTGCTCCGTGATAGTCACGTGCACCTCCAATCTATAGATGGTATTGATCCGGTCACATAGAAGACGTTTAGTTGAAACTCACTTTAGAGACAAAAGGAGAATGAGAATTCATCTTTTGACTAGATTTATATACATATATTGCCTCAGATCTCTTACTTATCACCTCTTTTACACACCAATGCAGCATTCTAAACGACATCTGGAGTGTGGAATCCGCCGTAAAATACAGTACACTCGTATTACACTGACTCACAAACTGAACAAACCGAGCAAACAGTTTTATATCTCGCCTCGCGCTTCTTTTGCTCCCCTCCGCTCTCCAAGGGAATTATAGGCCAATTCTGACAATCAGGAAAAATGGCCGCCGCAGTTGCATCCGCAGCTGAGCTCGATCCGAGCAACAGCTCAAAGAACACCCTCAAATTGGAAAATGTGGCTATACCCCTCCCTCCCCACCATCCCCGATTTTTATTTACTAACTATCATCTCGCCTGCCAGACCGAAAAGCGAGACACCCTAGTCGCAATAGAAAAGAAGTACCAAGCACAATGGAAGGAGAACAAGATTTTCGAAGTCGATGCGCCCTCATTCGAGGAATCCCCCCAGGGTGCCATGACCCCCGCCGAGCTCCGTGAGAAGTACCCCAAGTTCTTCGGTACCATGGCCTACCCTTACATGAACGGTACTCTGCACGCCGGACACAGCTTTACTGCTAGTAAGGTCGAGTTCATGGCTGGATTTGCCCGCATGGAGGGCAAGCGAGCCCTTTTCCCTCTGGGCTTCCACTGCACCGGTATGCCTATCAAGGCTTGTGCCGATAAGCTTGCCAACGAGGTGAAGAAGTTCGGCCAGGGTTTCGAAGGATACAATGAGGAGGCAGAGGCCGCCGAGGACCTCCTCGCAGCCCCCACACAAGAAGTTAAGACTGAGGCAGGTGAGAAGTTCTCTGGCAAGAAGAGCAAGGCCGCTGCCAAGACCGTGAAGATGAAGTATCAGTTCCAGATCATGCTGGCAATTGGCGTTCCTCTAAAGGAAATTCACAAGTTTGCCGACGCTGCCCACTGGCTCGAACACTTCCCTCCTCTTGCCATCCGTGATCTCGACAGTATCGGTGCCCGCATCGATTGGCGCCGACAGTTCGTCACCACCGATGCTAACCCCTACTACGATGCTTTCGTGCGTTGGCAGATGAACCGCCTGCACGAGCTCGGTAAGATCATGTACGGCAACCGTTACACCATCTACTCGCCTAAGGACGGTCAGCCTTGCATGGACCACGACCGCACTGAGGGTGAGGGCATCGGTCCTCAGGAATACTCCGCGATCAAGCTCCAGGTCAAGGAGTGGTCGCCTAAAATTGCAGAGCTCGTGAAAGGAAAGATCGAGGATGACGCGAAGGTATACTTCGTTCCTGCTACCCTGCGTCCGGAGACCATGTACGGTCAGACTAGCTGCTTCGTCGGTCCCAAGATCAACTACGGTCTTTTCAAGCTCAAGGAGAAGGAATACATTGTTGTTACCAAGCGAGCTGCTTGGAACATGGCCTTCCAGGGTCATTTCTTCGGCGATAAGTTCCCCAAGACCCAAGATGAGCTCCCGCTGGTTCTCGAGGTGCCGGGTTCCGCCTTCGTCGGAACACTGGTCAATGCACCTCTGTCTTTCCACACCGAGGGTATTCGCATCCTGCCCATGGAAAGTGTTTCGGCAGCCAAGGGTACTGGTGTTGTTACCTCTGTTCCCTCCGACAGCCCTGACGATTACGCCACCCTGGTGGATTTGGCGAAGAAGGCTGAGTATTACGGCATCCAGAAGGAGTGGGCTGAGCTGGAAATATTCCCGCTCATTGACACTCCCACCTACGGCAGCTTGACTGCTCCTGCTCTGGTCAAGGAGCTGAAGATCAACTCTCCCAAGGACGTCACCCAGCTTGCTCAGGCCAAGGACTTGGCCTACATGGAAGGTTTCTACAAGGGTACTATGCTAGTTGGTAAATATAAGGGCGAGCCTGTCAGTGAGGCTAAGGACAAGGTCCGCAAGGACCTCTACGACAGTGGTGATGCCTTCCCTTTCGCCGACCCAATGGGCAAGGTTGTCAGCCGTAGTGGTGACGACTGTGTTGTTGCCTACCTGGGCCAGTGGTTCCTGAACTACGGTGAGAATGATGCCGAGTGGCAGCAGGAGACCCTGAACTACGTTGTCAACAACCTCAACACCTACTCCGCCGAATGCAAAAACGGGTTCGAGAAGAATCTTTCCTGGCTGAACCGCTGGGCATGTGCCAGAACCTATGGTCTTGGATCCAGGCTGCCATGGGACAAGCAGTTCCTAGTTGAGAGTCTGAGTGACAGTACCGTCTATATGGCCTACTACACCATCGCCCACCTCCTTCACGGTGACCGGTACGGCAAGACGACCGGCTCCCTGAACGTGACCGCCGAACAGATGACCGATGAGGTCTGGGACTACGTTTTCACAAGAAGGGAAATTAGCGACGAACTCATCTCTAAGAGTGGAATCAGCAAGGAATCTCTGCAGAAAATGCGCCGTGAATTCGAATACTGGTACCCTCTGGATGTCCGTGTCTCCGGAAAGGACCTGATCCAGAACCACTTGACCTTCTTCCTCTACATCCATATTGCTCTCTTCCCCAAGGAATACTGGCCTCGTGGTGTCCGTGCTAACGGCCACTTGCTCCTCAACGGCGAGAAAATGAGTAAGAGTACCGGTAACTTCCTGACTCTCAAGGATGCCGTTGACAAGTTCGGTGCCGATGCTACCCGTATTGCATTTGCCGATGCTGGTGACAGCATTGAAGATGCCAACTTTGAGGAGTCTGTTGCCAACAGCAACATCCTGCGTCTCCACACCTTGAAGGAGTGGATCGAGGAGATTGCTAAGGACGAGACTCTGCGCACTGGACCTGCTGATGCTTTCGCTGACAAGCTTTTCAATAACGAACTTAACAGCCTGGTTCGCGAGACCCAAAAGCACTACCAGGAGTAAGTGGACTTCACTGCTTTGCACTCTTGCTTCGCATTCCATTAATTCATTGACATCAATAACTAACCCTTTAATCTAGCACCGATTTCAAGCTTGCTCTCAAGTCCGGTCTATATGACTTCACTAGCTCCCGTGACAGCTACCGTGAGGCTTCCACTGCTGCTGGCGTGGGTATGCACCGTGATACCATTATGCGCTACATTGAGCTGCAGGCTCTGATGCTGGCACCCATTACTCCTCACTGGGCTGAGCACATCTGGCTCGAGGTCCTCAATAAGGTCAGTTTCCTTACCCCACTTTATGCTCAACCTTGATCTAACACCTTTTAGCCCGAGTCTATTCACTTCGCCCAGTTCCCTTCTGTGCCAGAGCCCTCTCCCGAGCTGACCGCCGCTCAGAACTACGTCCGTGGTACCGCAAGCAACATCATGAGCTCCGAGGGTAACTTCACCAAGAAGCTCTCCAAGGGCAAGAACATTGCCTTCGACCCCCGCAAGCCCAAGAAGCTTATCATCTTCGTTGCCAAGAAGTTCCCCAACTGGCAGGAGAAGTACATTGACCTGGTCCGCGATTCTTTCGACGCGCTGAACCTCTCCTTCAACGACAAGGAGCTCAGCGCAAAGGTTGGCAAGTTCGGTGAGATGAAGAAGGCCATGCCCTTTGTTCAGAACCTGAAGCGCCGTCTGGTCAACGCTGGCGAGTCCCCTGCCACTGTCTTCGATCGCAAGCTTCCCTTCGATGAGTTCGTCGTTCTTTCCGAGATGGTGGGTGGTCTGAAGCGCACCTCTGGTTTCAAGGAGATTGAGATCATTGCTGTTGATGAGGGTGGCAAGACTGGTGAGGTTGTTGGTACTGGTGAGAAGCGTGAGGGCTTGGCCGGTGAGAATGCCGTGCCAGGAACTCCTACATTCCAATTTGTCAACGTCGAATAAACGACATTGCTTTGAAAAATACAATCTCATTTTCCAGTTTCAAAAAATCATGCTTGATGACTTCTGCCAAAATCAAATAAAACATATAGCATATAGCATTTTCAATATTTCAGTTCTATTCCTTTGCATCTAAGCATTCACTACCTCTGATTGCATTGTCCTTCGTTTTTATGCCATACTTTCCCCGTATCTTCAAGTCTTGATGGTGACATCGAGAATATTTCATTTACTTGACCTTAAAACACTCAACAATCTATAAATCACAAAACAAACCATCAATCAACGGGCCGAACCAATACATAGAAATAATCAGCAAATGACTCACCTGTTAAAGCCTTCCTGCAATATCTCCTCTTCCTGTGAGAACACCAGGCGGAACCACCCAATATCCCTCGAATGCTCTTCCCCGGGATGTAAGAACACACCAGCATCGACGAGCCTCTCAGCAAGAGAAAACTCCCGGTTTCGCGGGGTAAGATAATCGTCACGGGGCAGATATGGTGACAGGTCGATGTAGACGAAGAAGCCAGCGTTTCTGATAACCGGATTAGATGAGGATTTGAATAATGTCTTCTCCGAGTTTGGTATACTCACCCGCCCTTGACATAGTTGATTCCCTCCCTGTTGAGCACTGAGGTTGTAAACCGGTAGGCTGAAGCGAGGCTCTGTCTTGCTTTGGCTGTGAAGCTTGCCACGAAAGCTTGGTCTTCTAGAATCACGGTGCCGATAGTCACCGCTGCTTGTGAAGCGCCGTGCAGTCTCCTATATAGAGTTAATCTTTGACGTTTTTTAGTTTTCGTGGTGCTCGGTCGAGATCTCACAGGATTGTTCTGCAGGCTTGCCGAAGCTGCCGATTTTTGGTCACCAAGAACCCAAGGTGGAGGCCTCCAGAAGCGAAGTCCTATAATTATATCATGTCAAATTGGTTGCCTCTATTGAGATTTTCCGATGCCTACCTTGCTGAAACCATATAACACATGGACCAGGTTAGGATCTATCAATCCCGCAAGATCCAGCGAGAGGATTGACGTAAATGGCACAGCCTCAGGGTCACCAGAATTAAACACGCATGAAGCGTATACCTCATCACTGATGAGATGGAGGTTATGCTTATTACAGAATCGGGTGATAGCCTTGAGTGTCTCGACTGGGTAACAACGACCTGGCCGTACCAAATCAGTTCAATCAACGGACCAAGCGGCATGTATAACTCACCGACAGGGTTATGTGGATTGACGAGCAGAACAGCTCGAATGTTCTTGGAGGATTCCTTAAAAGCCAGTTCATATTTTTCCACACAAGCAGGAGAGAATGCCTCTTCCACAGTTGTATCAGCATAAACCATTTTAACGCCAGATTCAACGCCGTAGTCGAGCTCAAAGCGGCCATATATGGGTCTGCTGACGAGGATCCCATCCCCGGATTCTGCGAGACTGTGTCCTAGCATGCTGCCAAGAGAAGTCGGACAGTCTGCCACTAATATGTCCTCGGGATCAATTGGGGCATGTGGTTTGAGGATATTGTTCAGGTGAACTGCAGCAGCAGCTGGTAATCTTGCAGCTGTCGGTGCGCTTGGGCGGTAGCTGATAGAATCTTGTGTAAAAACGACCTATGTGATTTAGCGGGATTCTTTCAGTCAGTGGACACTATGTGGGCATGAAGTGAAAATTGGAATACGCACATTTTGGTTGATATATCTGGCTATCTCCGCTCTCATTGGTCTCTGGTTGGAAGTTAGCTCTTGGTTTCCGGCCGTGAGGATATATGTTGTAGATACATTCTCCGCCAGGCCAAATGAGATGAGCCCTGTCGGGTTCTCCATTGGGTCATAGGTCTGAGTTAGACTAAAGCGCCAGGGCTTGGCCAGTTCCCTGGCATTTTCGCTTCCCCGAAAAGATAACATCATGGGATAGACGAGCGTGAATGCTGATTTGCTGAACGTTAGGGAGTGATATATATATTGAGACGAGTTAATTGCACAGGAACAAATCTAGCAATTATAAAAGAATCTTGTCAGAATAAATAAGCGAGTCGTCGTATGTTGTCGGAAGGCGAAAGGTTGATCCCCCACCTACGAGCCCTACGTACAAAATGAGGACCTTTGGAAAGAACCATTCTGCGGGCTATGAATCGTTAACTGGTTAGTTCCATGTGATAATTGATATTTGTCAACTTAGAACGTTCTTGGTCATCCCCAAGGTCTTCAAGCATGAACCATTCATGCGGTCTGTATCTCCCCGCCCGGATATAAGACTCAACAACATCCCCTACATCCCCAGTATGTAGATAATGCTCTAGCCTAAACTTCGGCCTTGGGTTGTCATTCGGACAAATATGCCGGCTGACGCATTGGTCTCAAATGCATAAGTGATCTTGATCTGAAACTTGGCAGGCATTTGTCGATAACTGAGCCCCTATTGGGAGAGGGGGGAGATTAGACCTTGCGGCCTTTTTACCGATAACCCTTTTCGATCATTGTGACAGGAATCTAGAAGCGATATTCGAAGTTAGGACAACGAGCAAAGTGATATGAGGATTCTGGAGTGCAATTTACCTGATTTCAGAAATGGAATGTCTGTGTCTAGAAGAAAAACAAGATCGAAAATGTTTTCCATCTTGTAAGGCGCCAGAGCGATCTTGATGGAAGAAGGAGTGTAAGATGGAGAAAGAAAGAAGAAGCAAGTTGCAAAGTGGAAGCAGCCAATTGATATAGCTGACCACTTTAAGGACGGAGAGGAGAAACGCCGACCCGCTATGCTAAATGGCCTAATGTACACGTCCATATAATATACCCAAATCACAACAAAAATCAATATCTCGTCCGCGGCTGTTTGCGCTTGTCGATTTTCTTCTTCTCTGCAATGAAGTTCCAACATTCAATCGGACGTCGGCACCCAATATGTTTCCCGTTGGGAGTGAAAACCTCGACCTGCGGATAGGAAGGTTCGTCTTCAGTGTCCCGCTTGCTGCGGATTTGTATACTGAGCTCGATCCAGCCGCAGCCCTCGATGAGAATATCTGCCGACATCACACGATACGGCAATGAAGGCACAGGGATCCCCCTGTCCTTTACAGCTTTGGCTAGCGAGGTGGGAAGATTCGAGGTGGTGGTATCCCACTTCAAGTCGAATATACCGGCCGAGGCAATTGTGCTGCCGGTTCCTTCTTTCATAATGACAGTCCCTCGGTAGGGGATTTCTTCGGCCTGCGTATCAATTGCTTTCTGTGTGTTGGTGATATGAGACTCGAGAGGCAGGAAACTGGCCGACATGACAGTATCTTGAGGGTTCACAGCGGTAATGCGGATAAGACCACCACCAAGCAAAAGAGACTGGCCGGGTTTAATGGTCGAACGTTCAGGCTTGATCCGCTTCGTCATGATCAAATCACGTTTGTATTCATCCCGAACAAAGTCCTCCAACAGACCACGCTCTAGGCCGGGCAAATCGATGACCTCGCCCTTTCCACGACCGAATGGAATGCGGATAGGCGAGACTGTAGTGCCTGGAAGAGAAGACACGACTGGGAGCACAGGATAGAGATCCTCGCGGGGGGCGGGGGGCAGAAGGCTGTCGGGGTTAAGGAAGGTGGGAATCTCATTTTCCTCACGGCGTTGAACCCACTCTTCAATTTTCTCCACATTCCTAGAATCCTTGGGGAAACACGCTTCGATGAAGCTGCTCTTTCCCACGTTTGCCTTACCAACGACCCAAATGCCGCCACCATGCTCTCGAATCTCTTCCTTGACCTCCTTAGTCCACCACCCACGATGCGCGCTAATCATGTGCACGTTGCCTAAACGGGCCTCCTTCCCCGATCTTCCCAAAGCTGCGCGGAGCTCTGTGCGAATATAATCCATCTTCGAGTCTACCTGCTCTTTCGTTGCCGCCAAAAGATCCGAGCGCGTAATTATAAACGAGAGTGATGGAAGTCTTCTTCCGCGTTCAAATTTCTCGTTCGTAGATCGTCGGTTCCGCGAACGTTGCTCCTGCAGCATTAAAGCCCAATGAATCCGTGGAACGAGAGACATTGGGAAATCTGCAGCATCGATGATATGGTAGACACGGTTGTGTCGATACGGTGATTCTTCGAGGTAGTTTCGTATAGACAAAATAGTCGGCTTGGGCGAAGAGACTGCCTTGTTGTGGTGTATCAAGTCGTGGCAACGATCACAGACTTCGGTAATTCGACCCGGAGACCCAAGAAAATTATTCTCGGGATCGACAGCTTCATCCGGAAAAGCTCCATCTTTTTCTTCAGTCAGCAAAATGGCAACCTTACGCAATTGTCTAGATGTCCTACCTTGAATAGGCTTGGGTGGCACTGCATCCTCGATGGCATCGCTCTGCTGTGCGCTTAAGCTACCTCCCTCGGTAGATATAACCTCATTTTGTTGTTTATTTCTGTATTCAATTGCTTCCTTTCTCACGGCGAGTAGCTTCCGAATCTGCTTTCGAGATGTACCATAGTATCCTGGCTCGTTTGCCTCAACTGTTTGGGAGAATGCGCCACATCCTGGGCAGCACAACGGCAGGGAATCGGCTAGAGTGCCAGCTTGAGGCTCAGCCAGGGGCTGTTCTCGTTGAAGGCGAGTTGTTGAAAAGCATCGGCATTGCCTGCGGAGGTCCGCAAGGCCTTTGGATTGTGGCGCGGCGCGCGATTTTGAGAAGGGAATTTGAGCCTGAGATCGAGGAATGCTCTTTGGGAGCAGACACAGCAGACTGAATCTCGGGTTTCTGAACACTGCGCCTCGAGAGCAGAGTGACATGATGGCGTGCGAAACTGCGGAGTAGCTGCGGAGCTTTTTTCTTTGGAGACAGTTATCTATCGATAGCGCACATGGTAAATTCGGGCCGCCGTACAACAACGCGCAACAAGTCATTTTACGGATTAGTATACTAAAGTGAGACTAAAATTGGTGGCAGTAAATGAATTTGGATTGAAAACTCCTATCGGAGACTGAAATTATTGGCACAGAAGGCGCTGAAACACAGATGCGCTGGAGAATCCCTGAAAGTAGCAGTAAAAGAACGCTGTCGTGAAACATGGACAAATATTGGTTTGCTAGAAGATCAAGCGCGCGCCTTTCCCTTTCCCTTGCCGGATTCCTCCATCTCGTCATCGGAGTCACTCATGAACTCGTCATCCTCATCGAAACCAATGAACTTCCTTGGTGCGGCCTTTTGAGGCATAGACGGCCTAGCAACAGAATTGGATGATTCTCCATTTTCCTCGCTCTCTTCGTCCTCGCTGGACGAGGCATCCTCCTCACTGCCCTCGGAGCTGGCGCTGGTGCTGGATCCACCCAGGAGTGCGTCGCGAAGATTATCCGTCCATTGGCCATCCTTGACAGCCCGTAGAACTGCTTCCCGAGTCTTTTCACTCATTTCCTCCCTATCTTCCATCCACTGTCCATCCAACTTCTGCCTGCCGCTGCCGTTCTTCAACTCGTCTTGACGCTTTTCGGCCATCTCCACTACGGACTGCCATCGGCGTTGACGCTCCTCTTTCTCTTTCTTGTCCATTTCTGGCTTGACAGCGAGATATTCCGCTAGTGCCTTTGCCTCGTTGACAGTGCGCAACCGGCGGCCATCGAGATTGCGACTGGAGCCATTGTTATCGCCTTGATTGCGCTTTCGCTTGCTGGACATGCGGCCACCGGCAGCACGCAGTTGAGAGCCGAAACCACCTTTGCCACCGCGGATGGGGGCAGTCAGGCGTAGCGGAAGGAGTGTGGAGGTAAAGACGCCATCACGGGTCGGGAGAAAAGATTGGATACACTCGGAGGTGGCCGTGAGATGTTTGTTATTTGTTGTAGTAAGGACGAGAGACTGAAGAGAGAGTGATGAGGGGAGATATGAAGCGATCTTGGCGGCCAGGTCTGATGTGCTCGCTGTCGATGGCAAAATGAACGAAAGTGTCGCCGGCAGCGACAGTCCCGGAAAGGACGACAACAGAACGTTGACAGTTGAGGAAGCCATATTGTGTGTCAGAAACAGTTCACGATATACTAGTAGGAGCGTGCAACTGAAGAGTTTGGTAGGAAGAAAGTATAGTTGTATTAGAAGATGGACGATGTTCCGATAAGATCGAGATGGCCGCAGCCAGGATGACTAATCATATTCTTAGTCAGCGATTATGGTTCCTCTCACGTGATGGTGTATCACCTCCAAGGTTGTATCATGTGACCTGAACCACAAGCTGATTAGGGTCATAACCCTACACCCAATTCGGACCGACGCACTTTTCTCATAGCGAAGCTCCACTCTTCATCCATCATTTAAATCAACCATTATTTTCGGGCGTTGTCAAAGCGATTCCCCGACTTGCAACAGGAACTCGCGACAATGTACGTATCCTCGCTCTTACGATTATTCCCGACACATTTACTAACAATGGCGCAGGCTTATCCCCAAGGACGACCGCAAGAAGATCCACGAGTACCTCTTCCGTGGTATGTAACGAGAACCTTCGTCGACGTTCCCGCGACACTGCGACATTGCGCTCGCGTCATGTGCGGATTCACTAACCCAAATTATAGAGGGAGTGCTCGTGGCCAAGAAGGACTTCAACCTTCCCAAGCACGGTGACATTGACACCAAGAACCTCTATGTCATCAAGGCCCTCCAGTCCCTGGACTCCCGCGGCTTTGTCAAGACTCAGTTCTCGTGGCAGTACTACTACTACACCCTCACCCCCGAGGTACGACTCGTCTACATCTAACACGCTCACATGTCCAAATACTAATCAAATAACAGGGTCTGGACTACCTCCGTGAGTGGCTCCACCTCCCCGCCGAGGTTGTCCCCGCCACCCACATCAAGCAGCAGCGTTCCCACGCTCCCCCCCGCGGCATGATGGGCGGTGAGGAGCAGCGCGGTGAGCGTCGTGGTCCCCGTGCTCCCCGTGAGGGCGGTTACCGCCGTCGCGAGGAGGGTGGAAAGGAGGGCGGTGCCCCCGGCGAGTTCGCTCCCTCTTTCCGCGGTGGCTTCGGCCGTGGCCGTGGTGCTGCTCCCCAGGAGTAAATGCTGAGAGGCATTGGTGTCCTGTCAACCACTTCTCGGTCAATCTAGAGTCTTGATGGTGTACCCGAATTCGGCTGCCGGACTAGAGGTTTCTCGAAATGGGCCTTACACTCGGTGCACCTAGATCTCGGTCCAGCTTCACTGGGACTTGGGGATACAGGAAACAAAATAAAAAGAAGAAATTCATGTTTCCACTGGTTTCATTATGTAGATCCATGTGGATTGATGTAGATTGTCATAGTCACTCATTGCTAAATTTATGACATGAGTGACAATGGTCTATTAGTGAACTTAGTGTAGGTCTTCGAGCTCTCTTGACTAGTCGATCTATTGCATTCCTGGAGAACGCATTCACTCTATGTACGTCACACTGATTGAGCAACGACGGAGTAGATAATTTCGAAGCTAATCTCGGTGTAATATGCATTAATATACCTGACGTATTTAAACGTTCTGAACTATATACAAGGCGTTTCTGTTCGGTTAAAGTGAGCATCCGCCTTACAAGAATCTCTTCCGGTCATAACGCACTACAGCCTGCAAAATGACAGATGCTCCAGTAGCGCAATCATCGGCAGTAGAGAACTCCT